GGATCGCTGGAGGTACAGGTAGATATGAGCCTTTTAACCTGGTCTTTACTGTGGTGGTTGGTCACAGAGTGGATCGCTGGAGGTACAGGTAGTTAGGAGCCTTTTATCCAGGTCTTTACTGTGGTGGTTGGTCACAGAGTGGGTCGCTGGAGGTACAGGTAGATATGAGCCTTTTATCCTGGTCTTTACTGGGGTGGTTGGTCACAGAGTGGGTCGCTGGAGGTACAGGTAGATATGAGCCTTTTATCCTGGTCTTTACTGTGGTGGTTGGTCACAGAGTGGATCGCTGCATGGAGGTGCAGGTAGGTAGGAGCCTTTTAACCAGGTCTTTATTGTGGTGGTTGGTCACAGAGTGGGTCGCTGGAGGTACAGGTAGATATGAGCCTTTTATCCTGGTCTTTACTGTGGTGGTTGATCACAGAGTGGGTCGCTGGAGGTACAGGTAGATATGAGCCTTTTATCCTGGTCTTTACTGTGGTGGTTGGTCACAGAGTGGATCGCTGGAGGTACAGGTAAGTAGGAGCCTTTTAATCTGGTCTTTACTGTGGTGGTTGGTCATAGAGTGGATCACTGGAGGTGCAGGTAGATAGGAGCCTTTTATCCTGGTCTTTACTGTGGTGGTTGGTCACAGAGTGGATCGCTGGAGGTACAGGTAGATATGAGCCTTTTAACCTGGTCTTTACTGTGGTGGTTGGTCACAGAGTGGATCGCTGGAGGTACAGGTAGTTAGGAGCCTTTTATCCAGGTCTTTACTGTGGTGGTTGGTCACAGAGTGGGTCGCTGGAGGTACAGGTAGATATGAGCCTTTTATCCTGGTCTTTACTGGGGTGGTTGGTCACAGAGTGGATCGCTGGAGGTACAGGTAGTTAGGAGCCTTTTATCCAGGTCTTTACTGTGGTGGTTGGTCACAGAGTCGGTCGATGATGGTTTTGTTTCAAATTGGGTCGCGGTCACACAAGTGGATAGGACGCTTTTTAACCTGTTCTTTTTTTGTTGTGGTGGTTGGTCGCTGAAAAGATGATTAGCTAGGAATGTAGGAGGGTACGGTGCCTTTTCTTTAGTGTAGTGAGCTTTCAGCTATTATGTATTCTACTCTCCGTTAGGCTTGGTAACGATATTGTGTGAATCTATTATTGTCTAATACCTCAATATTTTAATATATTTACAGCATTTTTTTCTGCAATGGTAAACTGTTTTGTCCATATTATAATGTATACCTACTACACGCTATCCGCCATTGGACCAAGTATGCAACCGTATCTTTGGTGGAAAAGATATCTCACTAAAGTACAAATGGTTAGTATACAACATTTTTTTTAGCTGAAAAGATACCTTCCTACAATTACAAAGGTTAAGCTCGTACTTCGCGGTGTTGTTTAACATTGTTTTTATCAATGAATACTGCTATGAGACCCAAATCCGAAATTAAGCGCCTTGCAATATACCGGAAATGTCAAGTTGTCGTTCATACTATATCTTTTATAATTAAAGCGAGAGGGTCGTCACCTGCGTACGCGCAGGAATTGAGTCCCAAGCGATGATAACAACACACGCTTAGAACACAAAGGCTCATGGGTAGATGCTTGTTTGTAAACAATGACACGCTATGGCCAACTGATGCATGCGCATGACGACACCCCCGCTTTAACAATCAACTTTTTTCATCTTTGCAGATACAATTCGTCACAGTGATGCTGCACACTGCTTATGTGATATATTCAAATTGTGGATATCCACGTTGGCCAATGGCGTTTCTCATCATCTACATGGCGTCACTGTTTATTCTCTTTGCAAATTTCTACAGTAAAACTTATGTCACAAAACAGACATCTCATTTGAAGTCAGGATAGCAGGCTCGCAGTTACAGGCCCGCATTTATTTATTCGTAAAAATTAATAAATGGAATCACAATTTTTTTGAGGTATCGTGTTGCTCACAGCAATAATTTGAAATACATATGAACTATTCAATATAGACGAACATTTAACACAAAATTAAATAAAAAAGTGGTGTGAAATAAATTTATTGTCTGTTCATTGGTGTCGTGTTCGTTCAGAAAATATATCGTTGGTTCACACTGCTGTATTTTACAATGAAATGTAAGAGCATCCTAATCACACCTTTGAATGTTTGAATCTATGGTCAAACAGTACTACTACTTATTGCAGCAAAATTTAGATAATTCACTCAATTTGTCATTCAAAAAATACTTTTAACCTTATGCCAATGCAAAAATTACACTTAAATTCCACAAAACCCTGTTTCAGATAAACGCTAAGGCAACTAATTTAGCATGCCTACAAGAACTACAGTAGCCAAATATCTTCTATTATTTTCAAGTGTGAAAAAAATGATTAAATACTGGATTGAATTAAAACAAATGAAAGAAAATGCATTGCTTTACTTTCGCCCTCCGCGCTAAAAAAAAATGGAAATAAAGAAACTGATCTCAACTATAGAGGGCCTCAATCACAAAAAAAAGAGCATTGTTTTCAAGAGAGCGGTTTGATATATATTTATGACAATACAAGTTCAATAAAGATTATTATTATACATCTGTCACCGTAACGCCATACGTTACAGCGTACCGTAATTTTGCGGTATTTTACGGGGTATTTTCATCCTACCATACAAGAAAATGTGAATTCCAAATATGGAATGATTACGCGCATAAGCGTCCTCTAATAATAACAAGCTGCCTGTCGACTGAGATAGCTCTGCTGTTAGCAATGCACATGGCAATTAAAGAACAGAAGATATCATCAGAAAATGAACAAATCTGAGAGAGGTCCACATGTAGTACCTATATATATATATCAAAGCAATTGGATTTGCGGTTTTTAACAAGAAGTCGAAAATATCACTTTTTACCAAAAATGACAAAAATATTCGCCAAAATTAGAAAATTAAAGATATCATTACAAAATGAACAAATCTGAGAGAGGTCCACATGTAGTACCTATGTATGTAATATCAAAGCAATTGGACTTGCGGTTTTTAACAAGAAGTCGAAAATATCACTTTTTACCAAAAATTACAAAAATATTCACCAAAATTAGAGAATTAAAGATATCATTACAAAATAAACAAATCTGAGAGAGGTCCACATGTAGTACCTATATATGTCATATCAAAGCAATTGGACTTGCGGTTTTTAACAAGAAGTTGAAAATAACACTTTTTACAAAAAATTACAAA